TGACTCAGAGCCTGGGCCCTGAGTGGGGAGCCAGGCCTCCCAGCTGGAGCTCTGGGCTGAGCCCAAACCAGTTAAACCAGTGCCCTTCCCACACCCTGAGGCTGCCAAGGCCACTTCCTCTCTCCGCCCCCTGCTCCCCAGAGGTGGGGGGCATGGCTGAGGCCTTTCGGGGGAGGGGTCACAGGAGGTGGGGTGGGCAGGAAGGTGGAGGCCAGGGAGCCCTCACAATGTGCCTCGGTTTCCATCGAGGAAAGGGAAGGAAGGTTCGAGGTGGCCCTTACCCCAGGAGGACCAGGAGACAGGGCATTGGCCCTTGCCTTGGGGCACTGGGGTCCTGGAGCCCACTTCCTCTGGGCCTTGGACAGGGAACCTGGAGCTCCATGGGGGAGACTCACTCTCCCGGGGACCTCAGTTTTCCCACCCATCAAAGGAAATATAGGGGCTATCAAGCACCTTATTATCTTGGGATGAAAGAAGGCAGGGAAGCGAATGGATTGTTCTGGAAGATAAGGGCAGGGGTGCAGGCAATCTTGGGGGCTGCTTGGGGAAGAGGGCAGTGAGTGGTGTCTTCTGGGCCAGCAGCTGGGATGGAGGGAAAGGAAAGTGATGGCAAGAGGGGACATGAGTGGGGCTAGAGGAGGAAGGTTCTGAACAGCCGGCACACCTCAGAGCCGGGCAGGTGGGCCCGGTTCACAGGTGAGAGCACCTGTCCAGGTGACCGTAGGTGCCGCTCGGCCCACGGTAGCGGCTGGCTGGGCTGTTGAGAGTCCAGGTGGGTGGGGCAGCATGGGGGGCTCCTCCCTGCCCTGCCTCTCCCTTTCCTGTCCCCTCTTCTCACCCTGGCCCCCACTTACATGCTCCCAACCCTCTTTCTGTCCTTCCTGGGGAGACTGAGGCCCTCTTTCTCTTGCCCCCACGACCCCAGCGGCTCATGTGCAGACAGAACCCGCGGTCACTGCCACCGTCGGCACAGCGGGGCCCTCCCTGCCGTGACCTGCGTGCCCTGTGACTTCTGGAATGTTCTCCTGGATCTCCTTCCCTTCATGTCCTCACTGTGCCTCCTCCTCGACCCCCGCTTCTGATACGAAGTGCCAGGTTGGGGCTCAGGGCTTGGGGCTTGACCTGAACCAGGTCCCAGGGCTTAAGAACCACCCAGGTGAGGACACGCCCCCTCTCCATCCATAGCTGCCTTGACCGCTTACTGGGCACCAGGGTCAGCCCAGTGGAGACCCAAGTCCCCCACTGGCCCCCAGGATCGCTCAGATCTCAGCAAGGTTCATGGCTCGCCCAGGGCCAGCTCCAGAGTCCGGACACGGCCCTGGGCTCGCACCTGCATCCCACCCATCGGCGAAACCAAGGCCAACCCTGCCTTCTGCCTTCTACCGCCACTGCCACCCCTGGTCCAGCTGCGGCCCTCTCCTGCCTGGACTGGTACAAGAGCCCCCTCACTGGTCTCCTTGCAGCGGCCCTCGCTCCCACGTTCTCCACACACCGGCCAGGTCACACTCCGCCCCTGCCCACACCTGCCCAGGGCTCCATGGCCTGGCCCCCCTGCGCACCTCCCCTCCATCCCGTCCCTGCTCCTCCATTCCAGCCACACCGGCCTCCTCGCTCCCCCAACCTCAGGGACTTTGCATTTGCTGGGTCTTTGCTTTCCCAGTCGTCCTCCTGCTCCCCACTCACCTCCTTCGGGTGAGGCCCTGGTGACCGCCTGTCCATCTGCCCTTGATCCCACTGTAGTACTTTTTACCTCGTGCGGCTCATCCCGACATAATAGAAGTACATATTGTTTTCGCTTTATCAGAGGACCGGGCCTGATCTTTTGGCCGCCGTACCCCAGAACCTGGAATCCCAGGGCACTTAGTAGCTGTTCAATAAACACTGGTGAGGAAACAGACGAATGGAGCCCCGCTGTCCCCACTCCAGCCTCCTGCTGGAGGAGTTCTGTAGACACAGACATCCACAAGCCATTCTCTGATGAAAATACTGCGGGGGGGGGGGGGGGGGTGGGGACAAACGACCTCCCTCCACACTGGGAGCTTGGTATAACAAGGCCACCTTTCCCTCCCGTTCCCCAGTCCCTGGGGATCAGCCATCACCCGGTCACTTCTACTGCTGCTGGGGTCTGTCGCACAGGGTCATTCAAGCTCGGAAGGCCTGGCTGGATCAACCGAGGTGCCTGCGTGTGCGTGCATGTATGAGTGTGTGCGCGCACGTGAGTCAGACGCCAGGAAGGCTGCTCCCCTGAGTGGAGTCCCAGGGCAGTTCCCCAGGCCTGCACAGGGTGGTTGGGTCACCGGCTGGCACACGGCCTCCACCCACAGCTGGGCACCCACCTTCCAGACCGAAAGCAAAAACTTGGGTCTGAATGAAGGCAAGGGGCAAGGTCCGCTCCTATGAAAGAAGCTGATTTTGAGTGGGTGTTGGGGCCCTGGGAGAGGGGAGGAGGAACAGGGTGGGGCGCTGGTCGCCCAGCAGCGGAAACAAGGTGCCCCTCCCTAGCCTGACGGGGCCTCTCCAGGGTTAGGTGTCTCTGGGTCCAAGGTTAATGTTCTTTTCCCAGGCCGCATGCTGGGGCAGCTGGTACAGACGGCTCTGTGAAGTTTTTAAACCTCCAGAAGCCGGGTCCGGCTGCCCCCAGCGTCCCCAGCCCAGGGCCACATGGTGCTCATGGGTCATGCCGCACCCCGCCTCCAGGGCCTGCCCTCGGGTTTCTCTAGGTCCAGCCTGATTTCCATGGGACCCCCTGACGGCCCCGCGTGCCCCTAGCTGGGACCTCCTGGGGCCAAGGGGCCGGGGGCGGCCCTGCTCCCGCGCTTGTCCTGGAGCGCACCCTGCGGGGCTGCAGTGCGTGGAGAAGGTGCCGGGTGGCTGCTGCGGGGTGGGGTGGGGGGCTTGCAGTCGTGAGCCTGCCCCGGCCCCGCCCACGGCCAGCCCCGCCCACCCACTAGCCCTGCCCACCGCGTGGGGTCCGACGGATCTTCCTTCACCTGGCCCAAGCTGCTCAACGTGCAGATGGAGAAACTGAGGCCCGGCTTCAGGCTTCCTGACCAGCACCCCCAACCCTGCCTCCCGGCCCCCGCCACCGCCCCCCGCCCCGGGCCGGGTTCCCGCCTCTGCCACTCACCCGCACGCGGCGCTCAGGGTCCCGCCGAGCAGCGAGCCGAAGATCATGCCAACCCCGAAGCACAGGCCCAGCCGGCCCAGGGCCGCCTGCCGCTCCTCGGGCGCAGACAGGTCGGTGATGACCATCTGAGCGGCTGGGGGCGGAGCGGGGGGCTGAGTGGGACGACGGCCCCCTCGCGGAGCACCTTGCGGCCCAGGCCACGCCCCCACCCACCCCTCCCCGACTTGCTCCCCAGGCCACGTTCCCGTGTCACATCCCCCCCACCCCAGTCCTGCTCTCGGGCCCAAACTGGCACCCACAGGGTGACCTCCGTCCCACCCTCTGGCTCTGGCCACCCCCACCTCCCTCAGGTCGCGCCCTGGGCCCAGGCTCCCCCAACGTGCCCCCCCAACCTTGTCCTCCCGCAGGGGCCCTACCTGGCCCTACCTGGCCCTACCTGGCCCTACCTGGCCCTACCTGGCAGCCCGTGCATGAGTGCCGCAGGCAAGGGCGAGACATAGAGCAAGGCCACGCCGGGCAGGGCCGGGCTGCAAGCGGCCGCCAGGATCAGGTAGAAGGCGGAGGACGCCAGGAAGCTGAGCGTGAATGCGGCCCGCGCCCCGCGCTGGTCGGCGAACCTGGGGGGCCCCAAAGTGTGAGCCTGGCGGATACCAGGCAGGGTCCTCTCTCCTCTGCCACTGACGCCCACCCTGTGGGGCTGCCAGGTTGCTAGGCCACAGGGATCCCCTCATGGCCGACGAGGTAGGCCTGGGTGCGGGATGGTCCGGGCGAGGGCCCCTCTGGGGGGCCCAGCTTCCCCGTGCTTCCACTGGGGCAACTTGCAGGGACCTGGGGGGATCTGACCAAGCCGGGCATCCCCACTCCCTTCGAGAATACCTTGTGGGGTCCCAATGGAGCATGGGTCTATGAGTAGTACAGTAAGTGTCTCCCAGGGGCACCTGGGGTGCTCAGTCCCTTAAGCGGCTCAGGCCATGATCTCAGGATCCCTGCTCAGCGGGGAGCCTGCTTCTCCCTCTGCCCCTCCTTCTGCTTACCTGTGCTCTCTCTTTAAACAAATAAATAAATAAAATCTTTTTTTTTAAAGATTTTTTATTTATTTATTTGAGAGAGAGAGAATGAGAGATAGCACGAGAGGGAAGAGGGTCAGAGGGAGAAGCAGACTCCACGCTGAGCAGGGAGCCCGATGCAGGACTCGATCCCGGGACTCCAGGATCATGACCTGAGCCAAAGGCAGTCGCTTAACCAACTGAGCCACCCAGGCGCCCAATAAATAAAATCTTAAAAAAAAAAAAGTGTCTCCCAGTCTCCAGCCCTTTCTCCACGCACCCCCAAGCAGCCCCAGGAAACCCCCCAGAGCCCCTGCTGTCTGACTTTCCTGTCTCTGGAGCCCCTTTCCTGCGCAGTTACCCTAAAGATCCTGCCACCTTGATCTGGCCTCCTCAGGGTTTGCGGGAGGATGTCTGCTGCCCTGTCCCTGAGCCCAGCGCCCCTGCCTAAGCCCAGTGCCCGCCCCCCAGACGTCCCTGCACCCTGGTACCTGCCAAACACCGGCCCGCCCAGCAGCTGAAGCACGCCGAAGGCCGTCTGCAGGTAGCCGAAGGCCACAGAATCCAGGCCCAGCCGCCGGGTCAGGTACTGCAAACAGGAGGGGCCCACGGGAAGGGTCAGGGAGTCCGGGGTGTGCAGTGGGTCGGGAGTGGGAGAGGTAGCCCTGAAGTGGGGGGACGGGAAACCCTCTGACCACGCTGTGGTGTGCCTGGGAGGGCCCCTCAGGCCTGGAACTCAGCTACTTATAGCAAGGAGCCCACTGGGGCCTCTGGGACCAGCTTCACTGGGCCCAGTGGTCAGGGAAGGCGGCTGCTGGCCCTCCCTCCCCTCTGCAGGGCACACCTCACCCATTCGAAGCTGCCTGGTGGACTGTAGCAGCTTCTAGGCCAGCAAAAGATGGTCCCCAAATGCCCTGATGACCTCCAGAAGGTGGCCCATTTCCCAGCAGGACCTAGGCCTGCTCTTGGGGGCTCCCAGCCTCTGCTGGTGCCACTCTGGGGGAGGTAAAGACCATGACCAGTGTCTCTCCAGAGAATGGGAGGGGTCCTGGGGACCCCAGATTGGCCTGCTCTAACCCTCTGACTTCAACCCCCCCCCCCGGTCTCTGGGTTCCCGGCCCCTGCCTCCAGGGATTCCCCCTGTAATGGGTTGAATTGGGTCCCCCCACAAAATCCTAATGCTCAGTATTTGGAATGTGACCTTATTTGGAGATAGTCTTTACAGAGGGAGCCAAGTTCAAGGAAGCTCGTTAGGGTGGGTTTGGGGTCTTTATACAGAGGGGAATTTCGGACACGGACCCACGCAGCAGGACAGCTGTGTCAGGGGACAGTTCGGGCAGACACTGGAATATGTTTGGAGTTGCCTGCGACAAGCAGAAGCTGGAAGAGGCAGGAAGGACCGTCCTCTGCGGGCTTCAGAGGGAGGCCTGAGACCCCGGGAATCAGACTTGTGGCCTCCAGTCTTTGAGAGGCAAACTTCTGTGGCTCTAAGCCACCGGTGTTTGGTGCTTTGTCACGGCAACCCCAGGAAACAAATACGCCTCATCCCCAACCCCACACCCTGTACTCTCCCTAAGCTCAGTCAAGACCATCCCTCCCGCCTGCCTTCTTTCTTGCCTGCACACCCTCTTCCCCAGTGCAGCTGAAATCCCAGGGCACCGGGCAATCTCCCCTCCTCCTGGCAGGGGGTGGGGCAGGGGGCTGGAGGGGGCCGCTGAGCCCCACTGGAGAAGCCTGAAGCCCTGCTGTCTGGTCTCTCCTGCTGGTGCACGTGACTGGACAATCGCACGTTCCCGTGATGAGTCCGCGCTCTCCCCCCGCCCACTGTAGCCCACCTTCTCCTCGAAATCAAACCTGCCTCATCCTCCCCTCCCACCCCAAAGACCTCTGCTCCATGGCTGATGCCTCCACCCTTGCAAGGGTTCAGGTGCAAATCCTCAGAATCATCCCTGACCACCCCTCTTGCACAGTCACATCCAATCCTTCGGCAACTCTTGGGCTCAACCCTTACCACAGACCTCAAAGCCAGCAGCTTCCTGCCTTCCCCATGGCCAGCACCCTCCTGGAGTCCTCGCAGCCTTTCTGGGGCCTTACCTCCTCCTCTCTGCTCACTCCTCTCTAGCTGCACTGTTCTCACTACTGCCCCAGGGCCTTTGCACCAGCCAGGCTTGCTCTTTGTTTCCTTTAAGCTTGCCTTCTGGGGGAGGCTTTCCCGCCCCCGTCGGTGGGCACTCCCAGCCCCTGCAGCACGCCTTCTCTCACACGTGGCACGGTCTAAGGATTGTGTGGTCCGTGCCTGCTGTATTCCAAGTTCCGAGAACAGGATGCACGTAGTAGGTGCTCGGTGAGCATTTGCAGAATGTTCCACACTTGCTCTGTCTTCAGCTGTTCATTCATCACCCCCTGCCACCAACCCTTCCAGAGGGACGTTGTGGCCCATTTCATGGTGGGACAGTGAGGCGCCTGCCCAGCCCCAGGCTGCTAAGGAAGGGAGTCAGTGCCCCCTCGCACCCAGATCCCTGGGCACGGGCTGCTCATGACAATCCCCTGGGGGGACTTTAAAAAGTGGCCGGCAGCTGTGCCAGGCCCCACCCAGACGAGACAGGGAAGGCCCTCTGGGGCTTCCACAGCCAGGCCAGCTCCACGGGGGTCTGCTGAAGGAACCAGCAGGAGGGCAAAGGCGGGCTCTGCGGACAGCAGGTGGGCGGGTACCGAGCGCTGACCATGGCCGCTTAGCCAACGGCCTATCACCGGGCAGAGTTCCAGCCCGGGGGAGGCAGCAGGGAGGAGATGGGGCCAGCTCCGCCCTCACGGGGAGACAGAAATAATTTAATATCATGGAACAGGATGTGGGGCGTGGGCAATCCGCAGGAGGACTGACCCAGCAGGACCTGGATGGAGGGGAAGAGGTTCTAGGGTCTGGGCAGCTGTTGGGAGGGAGGGCTCCCTGTGGAAGAGGCCCAAGCAGAGGCCTGAGCGCAGGGAGGACAGGAGCCGAGCAGGTGTTGGGGCGGTGGATCAATAGGGCAACGGTCCTGGTGGGGTGGAAGGGACAGAGCCAGGCCAGCCAAGGGGAGGGGCACTGCCACCAGAAGGGCTGCGTGGCCATGGGGGTGGCTCCCTACGGCCCCTCCCCGGGGCCACCATGCATCAGAGCACAGAAAGTGCTGATGGAGCGACCCAGAAGGCACAGTCCCCGGGTTCCCCAACGAGGGGCCTGGGCAGCCCCAGGCCCCCATCCCCGGCCCCTGCCATTGCACGATAGAAGAAGAGAGGGACAGTGGGGCATGCGGGTGGCTGGCCGCCCGGGGGAGGGTACTCACCGGCATGATGGAGAACCGCATGAAGAGGAAGGTGAGCTCCAGGGCAACCAGCAGGCGGGTGAGTAGGATGACCCGGGGACGGCCCAGCACGCCCATCTTGCCGGAGTGCTGACCCTGGCCCCCGGGGGCTCCAGCTCCCCACATCCCGGGCAGGTGTGGCGGGAGAGCCTGGACGGATCTGAGCAGGAGGTCAGCACAGCGCGCAGGGGGCAAAAGTCGTGTTGTGCTGGGCGAGGGTGCTGAGTCACGGGGCAGGAAGCGGGCAGCGCCTGGGCAGCGCCTGGCCTGGCCTGTCATCGAAGAGAGGGCCTGTGGGAGAGGCCAGAGCTGCAGGACCCCCATCTGGGCTTCCAGCCACCTGCTATGTGACCTTAGGCCACTCTTGCCCTCGGAGAACGTGGCAGGTGGCCCTCCCGCTCCACCAGCGACAGCTCTGGGTCTGTGGGCGCACAGCTCCTGGGGAACTTGACACGGAAACCGTGCCTGCTAGTGTGGGCCAGGCTCTGTTCCCCCTGTGCCTTACACAGGAAGGCACCAGCACCCCATTTTAAGAGGGAAGCCCCTTTTTAGAGGCCCAGATGGTTGCTGGCTGCAGTTCAGGTAGGTGTCTCCGGCATGTGTGGGGCTTATGTATTTTGGGTCCTGGTTATTGGAAGGGGGGTTCCTTAGGCCCATAGCGTCCCCCCCACCCCTATGGAGCAGCTTCTGGAGGAAGGCTTAACCCCCCTCGCCCAGTCCTCCAGCCAGAGCCCAAGGGGGCTTTGGAGTGGCCTGAGGGTGGGGTGGGGGCCACGGCTCAGCCTTCCAGGCCCCCCAGGGCAGGGCAGCTCTGCCTCACCTCCTGCTGCAGGGTCTTGTCTGTTCTCCAGCCTGCAACCAGCAGAAACTAGATTTCGTGGCTCCGTGGACACCTCCACGCCTCCAAATGAACACCCCATGGTACACTTGAGCCCCAGGGTGGCCTTCAGAGCCTGGGGTCCAGGGCTGGGGGTGGGGGCAGGTGACAGCAGGAGGAAACCCCGGCCACTGCCTCTGGCACCCTCCTCATCCCGGTTCGGGGAGGGCTGGGGGAGGCGGGTAGAGGCCGAGAGCCTCGGGTCAGGGGCACCTGGCTGGCTGCTCAGAGGCTCCATGCTGCAAGGGGTACGGTCAGGGGACGCCCTCTCCAGAGTGAGCTCTGGCACCTGCCTTGCCCTAGGGGTGAGCCCTCCTAGGGTGAGCTCTGGCCTGGAGCTTCTGTTGGTGGGCCTGGGCACCCATACTCTCTGGGTGGCCTGAGACTCGGCCTTCCTGGGGTGACCTGGGACACCGGCTTTCTTGGGGTGACCTGGGACGCTGGCGCAACATGTCCTGAGAGGCTAGGCCCCCCCTCACCCTGCAGCTTTTCTCCCAGGTTGGTGGCGGAGGCAGGGACTCTGACTTCTGGAAGGGGGCCGGTGTCTAGTCCACACATGGGGTGGGCAGAGTGGGGAGGTAGACAGGGCAGAGGGACTGGGGACAGCGGCTGGAAAAGATAGGAGGAGAGAGGAGTGGAGGGAAAGAAGGGAGAGGGGAGAGGAAAAGGGCGGGGCTCCGTGTCTGGCCTGCCCCCTCCCTGAGGTCTGCACAGAGACCCAGAGGAGGCGTGGCGGACAGGAGCATTTCTGCAGACAGCTCCGGCAGGCGTCTCTCCCACCTCTCCCTACAGACCAGTGGATGCCGACTCCTCACTTCACACGGCTGCCACTCCACCCCCCTTGGCCGGGGCCACCAGAGACCCATGGAACGCAGGGACACCTGGCTTCAAGCGGTCCCTCGGGGGGACTTCGGGGGCTGGGGAGCTGGAGTGCTCTCAGCCCCCTGGATCCCCCGCTGGCATCCTCGGGAGCACAATTCCCCCAATAAGGAACCAGACGCTGGTCCAGGACCCTGTGGCTCCGCCTCCAGAGCCAGGCCACAGGCCCAAATGTCAAAGTCAAAGTCCCTTCAGCCTGTGTTAACTCAGGGTACCAGGGGCCCGGCCAGGTGGAGTCCTCCCGTGTTGCCCAGGGACGGCCGGGAGGGTGGACCAAAGTCCGCATGGTAGGGGTAGAGCCAGGGAGCCTGAGGCCTGCTGCTGGGGCCTCTCAGGGCAGGGGCTAGCAGGCCCCCACACCGCACCCCTCCTGTGTTTGAGGAAGTCTCTGTCCGAACAGTGCAAATGGGGGACATGTGTTTGCACTGCAGGATGGTGTCCCCGGTTCTCTGCCAACCTCAGGAGTTGCACGGAGATCCCGGAACGGGGGCAGGTGGACCAGCCGGGGTCTCCTGGAAGAACCGCACGGAAAGGCTGACCTGCAGAAGAGGGGGGACACGGTGCCTGAGATTTGGGACCCCGGGGAGGAGGATCGGAGTGCGGGTGGTTCTGGGCTCCGTAGGGGGCGGAGTGGGGGACGGTTCTGTCCCCAGGAGGCTCCACACCCCCAGGGCCTGTGGGCTCCAGCCTGGCCACTTGCCATAAACCTGGCCAGGAGGTGGGGACATCATCTGGCCCCTTCTGGTTTCTCTGGGCGGGAGTTGGGGGGAAAAGAGGCAGGAGAGGGAGCGGGGAGAGGGTCTCTGGTCTGCCCCAGGGCAGGTGGGGGAGGCGGAAGGCACGTGGGGTGGGCAGGAAGGAGCTGGTTACTCACCTCTCCCTTCTCCTGCGTCCAGCAGGGCCTTTGGAGGGCTTGGAACTGGTTGGAGCAGAAGTAGTTGGCTCTAGCCTGAGTATTTGTCATGAACAGGCTCCGTGTGGGCGGGGAGCTTCCTGGTCCTGAGAGTGTGGGAAATCTGCCCTATGGGCCACACGACGAGCGGAACCCGGAACGCTAGAATCCCCGACCTGCTCTTCCTTCCCCAGAGTAGCCAGCCCCGCTCACTTAGCCACTCAACACATGCTCCGCACTTCCCCAGGGCCCACTCCTAGCCCCCGGGGCGATCCCAGCCCCCAGCTGCCTCTCCCCGAGACAGGCGGACAATTCTGCAGGGGCGAGGCTGATCCAGGTCCACAGGAGGAATCAGGGGCAGGGTTAGGAGGTGACACCTCCGAGGACTCTTAAGGATAAGCGAAGATTGGCCAGGTGGAGGAAGGTATTTTGAAGAACGCTTGATGCGGTGGGGGCAAAGGTGTGTGTGGGGCAAGAGTTAATTCTGGAGAGGGGTGGTGAGGCCAGATCTCAGAGGGTCTCACCAGCCACACTAAGGCCCAGGGGAGCCCCAGAGGGCTGGGAGGGGGAGGCACAGGGGGAGATGTGCCCTGGGGAGGGACCCTCTGGCTCAGTGTGCTGGAGGGTGAGACCCATGTGAGTCTCCCAGAGCTGGCAGGACCCCGGGGCCTGCCCGGGCATCTGAACTGGAGATGGGCTGCGGAACAGGCAGCCTCGCTGACGCCGACCGACTTTTGTTGAGCGCCACTGTGTGCTGGGCTCTGTGCCAGGTGCTGGGGATACTCAGCCCACAGATGCGACTACCCTGGTGTGGCTTGCATTGTAGCGAGCCTGAGAGTGCACGTGTGTTCATGCGTGTGTGCACGCTGGTGCCTGTACGTGTGTGTATGCGTGTACTTGCATATACGGGTATGCAGCTATGTGCAAGTATGTGCATATACGTGTGCGCAGGCGTGTGCATATATGTGTTTGTACGTGCATATACGTGTGTGTAGGTGTGTGCAAGTACGTGCATAGATGTGTGTGCAGGTGTGTGCGAGTACGTGCATAGACGTGTGTGCAGGTGTGTGCATATATGTGTTTGTACGTGCATATACGTGTGCACAGGTGTGTGAAAGTACATGCATATACGTGTGCGCAGGTGTGTGCAAGTACGTGCATATATGTGTGTATGCATGTGCATGTGTGGGTGTGTGCATGTATGTGTGAGGGGACAGATAATACCCAGTATGTGTGATAGGTAAATTATACAGTGATTGTGAGCGTGTGGGTTGTGCTCTGCATGCAATGGAACCCCTGCAGAGTTCTGGGCTTTCTTTATGTTCTTCCAGAAGGAGCCTCTGGCTGATGGGACGGAGGGGCCTGGGCCCGCACAGTGAGGCTTCTGCAGTCCCAGTAGGGTGAGGTGGCAGCGGAGGTGGGGGTGGGATTCCGCACACCCTGGGAGGGAAGAGTTGGACAGTGTGTCCTGATGGACAGGGCATGGCCCGGAGAGCACCTGCAGTATGGGCTGCCCTTAGCGGGGAGGTGGGAGCTTCTGGAGGGAGAACATGCTGGAGCTCAATGCTCAGGTGGGTGGAGACGTGGGTCAGCACACAGGTGTAGGAGGGTGTGGTTTGGGGCCGTGGTCTGAGCTGGAGGTTTGAAGTAGGGCACTATATCCTCAGCGAGATGAGCCCCTTTGTGGGTTAACGAGGGGTCGACAGTGCTTGTTACTTTTATTATTCCCCGAGGCCCACCTCAAATGTTACCTCTTCAGGGATGCCCACAGGGTTTTGGCCAGGACCCGGGCAGCAGCAGGCCCCAGACAGGGTGGGATTTCTGCACGCTGAGGTGCAGTTTCAGGCCTCGGCCAGCAGGGGCGCCCGGACGCCGCAGCCGCAGCTGTGCTCCGGCATCCGGCGGCCCCTCCCAGCGTGGGGGAGGAGGTCGGACTTCCGCTCCCACTCGGGGCCCGGTCCACAAGGGGCACCCCAGCCCGCTGCGGGCGTCCGGGGCCCGGCCTCAGCTCGCCAGCTCCTTCCCAGAGGCCGTCTGGTTTAGGGTCTTAGAGGGCAGAGTCCCTTAGGAGGTGTGACATGAGAGGCTGGGCTGGCAGGTGCCAAGGAATCTTCCAGAGCTGGAGTCTGTGAATAGGCTCCTGGGGTTGGGGTCTGGGCGGGGTCTGGACCTTGTCCAAGGCTGGTTCTCTGGAGCTGAGTGTCAGGTCAGTTCTGACTCACTCTGTGGGTGGGTTTGTGGGATTGAAGCCTTTAGGTTACAGTATGGCCCCATCCCCCAGGGGAGGCTCTGCTGGCTAGCGGGGGCTTCTCCACCGGCCTCTAGTGATCCAAGGACCCCAGAGTCAGGTGGAAGGAGGGCAGAGGCCTGGGGTCCTGGGACAGACGAGCACTCACCTTGCACGCACCGAGCTCTGCTCTGCTCCTGGCTGCATGCTGGGACACAAGGTCCCTCATGGTGAGTGTGGGTCACTCACTC